AGTGGGTCTATTACGGGCCTGGAACCCATACGGTAAGAACAATAAACCTCGACAAGTTGAATTCGATTGTAAAGTCTATTCACACTTCGCCGCTGGAGAAATCATAATTGCAATTAGATGTGACCACATATGTTTTCCGCTGGCAAGTCAAGAATGTATTGACTGCATCTGGCACCCAGCTTTATATGAGCAAGAGATCTGTTAGCTAGATTCATCTTTGCTGCATACTAAACAGTGGCCGACTGTAGAAGATGTACCAAATAAGCCACCTAAAAAAATTGCTAATCTTTTTGTTTAACCATTCGTAAATGCCACAAGTGACTTACGAGAAATGTCACAGCCCATTTTCTTTCAACCATATTAAGTAGCTGACTGGCCACTTCAGCCAGCGATATTTTACTTGCCAAGAATTCTGAGCCACAAACATTGCGTGCAAAAAAAATTGGAGAAGGGGGGGGGGGGGGGGGTGGAGAGGGGGAGGGGGGGTTAAGTTGTAATGGATCTTTACGTTAAGTTTTGAAAGGAGAATGTAGTTAGTTGGGAGACACAAGTGCCTGTTTCTGCAGAGAAGATGGGACGTGAGTTATCCATACGACTGCGCTAGGAATGCGCGGTGTTTTTTTTTATTAGACCTTCCCCCCCCCCCCCCACACCCCTCCCCGGGCATTTAGTGAAAAAACTATTTAAAAAGTTCATAGTAAGTGAGCTTCGCTCGGCGACTGAAAGTCTCATTGGTGGGTTTACAGTTGATTACCACTGTCATGTACAAGAATGTATTTGCAGTGTGTGGGGAAACGTGACTGCTGTACAGTTAGCCGGGGGGAAGGGGACGGGGGGGGGGGGACGTGACTGCTGCACAGTTAGCAGGTGGCGTGACTGCTGTACAGTTAGCCGGGGGAACGTGACTGCTGTACAGTTAGCCGGGGGGACGTGACTGCTGTACAGTTAGCCAGGAGGGGCGTGACTGCTGTACAGTTAGCCAGGGGACGTGACTGCTGTACAGTTAGCCGGGGGACGTGACTGCTGTACAGTTAGCCGGGGGACGTGACTGCTGTACGGTTAGCCGAGGGCGTGACTGCTGTACAGTTGGCCAGGGGGACGTGACTGTTGTACAGTTAGCCAGGGGAGCGTGACTGCTGTACAGTTAGCCGGGGCAACGTGACTGCTGTACAGTTAGCCGGGGGAGCGTGACTGCTGTACAGTTAGCCGGGGGAACGTGACTGCTGTACGGTTAGCCGGGGGAATGTGACTGCTGTAGTTACGGTTAGGGGGGGGGAATGTGACTGCTGTACGGTTAGCCGGGGGAAACGTGGGGGGCCGGGGGCGTGACTGCTGTACGGTTAGCCGGGGGAACGTGACTGCTGTAGTTAGCCGGGGGCGTGACTGCTGTAGTTAGCCGGGGGGAGCGTGACTGCTGTACAGTTAGCCGGGGGAACGTGACTGCTATACAGTTAGCCGGGGGAACGTGACTACTGTACAGTTAGCCGGGGGAACGTGACGGCTGTACAGTTAGCCGGGGGAGCGTGACTGCTGTACAGTTAGCCGGGGGGGGGGGGCGTGACTGCTGTACAGTTAGCCGGGGGAGCGTGACTGCTGTACAGTTAGCCGGGGGAAGGGGAGGACGTGACTGCTGTACGGTTAGCCGCGAGGGAGGGGGGGGGGAACGTGACTGCTGTACAGTTAGCCGGGGGAGGGGGAATGAGACCGTTTTACGGAGCCGGTCGTGGTCAAACCCTGTGGCGGTTCGTGAGTAGGAGATGCAGAATTACAGTTTCTGTTACGAATGCGTACAACAGGTGAGCAGTCTATTCAACATTGGTGCACATGCGCACATGTCTGAGACAAGAATCTGCACTCCCACGGTTGCTGCTCACAAGCTGTTTCTGGTCAACCCTTCCGGAAGCCTGTTTCTGGGACCTCTCCATGGGTGATTCTCATCCGCATTGTGGCACTTTGAGTCACCGGGTGTTTATCGCTCTGTGTGATGTCCTGGTGGGTTAAAGTTTACTTACTTACTTATGTCAAATAATTCGTTATTTCAGTATTGACTCTCATAAATATTAGATGTTGTTGGGATTGACACATCCCTGTCTCATTCCAGATGTTACTCAATTGTAATATTCTCAAGGATGGCTGTCTTACTCAATGAACGTGTTTTAATCGTTCAGAGCATTTTGAAATGTGATATATATATATATATATATATATATATATTATCCGGGGACTGATTATTTATTTGCCCTCTATTCAAGTGGGTTTTTTTTTTTTTTATTTTAAATACGTTGATATTCTGTTACACAACTAAAGCATCCGACTTGTTGTCTTGCGTCAAATTATACTACTGGACTTGTGTCCAATTCCTGGTTGTAGCGATTATTTGTATTTGTCTCATTCTGTTAGATGTTACGTCATTTGGTACACTGTTGTCAAACCACTTCTTTTCATCCCCAAAGATCATTGTGAATTTCTTACGCTGGCTGTATTGCTCGTGTCCTCTATCTTCTTCTTTTCGGCTCCTTCTTTTTGAATTTCTTCTGTTTTTAATCTCCCATGGAACACATGCCCTAGGTCAACTCAATATAAGCCGCTTGCAAACTGTTGATATGATGCATTAATTCTGTGCTACAGTTTTCTACGACATGAGGTTATCAGTATCAAACCAACTCTCATCTGTTTAACTTGACCACATACACTGTATATTACAGTGTTGCTATTCTTGACTTTTTTCGTCAGCTCAGGTCAAGCACCGAAGACTAGCGGTATTATGTAATGCATGTTTACGTGCCGAGTGAGTGTATGAAAGAATATCACAGCTCACAAAATGTCCAGTACAAACGAGACCTTGTCGAAGTCTAAGCGATGAATGCATTACCATCGTTAACTTGTTAACACAGGCAACAGCCCAGGGTCACCAATGTCAGTGATTCGCTTTCAAGAAGTAAATGCCAACCTAGTCCGCGTGACCTGACAATGGCTGTAATAACCTGTGTTGGTGACAGCTTTGTGACCTCCAGCAAGATAATGGAAGTTTTCACAACAGTCATTGTGTCATGTTGCTAGTCAATAAAGATCTACGCTAATCTGACTGAGGTTAGCTAATGTAACAGTCTGAAACACGGTTGCATATATGTGTGTTTGTGTGTGTGTGAGAGAGAGAGAGAGAGAGAGAGAGAGAGAGACTGGGAGAAGACTGAATGAGAGAGAAACCGAGAGATGGAGAGAAAGCGAGAGAGAGAAAGCGAGAGAGAGAGAGAGAGAGAGAAATATCACGAGAGAGAGAGTAGATATCATGTAGCCTGTGCAAGGAAAAGAACCCACACCATCAAGTGTACGAGTCAAGGGTGCTATCCGTAACATATTTTTAGATCAATGGGAACTCAATGCTGATGTGGTTATATTACGCTGAAATTGTCTTTCGCAAAAAGTGAGTAGAATAACTGGGGCTACCTTCGAAGTAGGAGTGCATCCGCGTGAGAGGCAGGGAGCCAACATTATGCATACAAATAAAGAAATAACTGTCTATTTGTTTACTGCATACAAATAAATAAATAACTGTCTATTTGTTTACTGCATACAAATAAAGAAATAACTGTCTATTTGTTTACTGCATACAAATAAATAAATAACAGTCTACTTGTTTACTGCATACAAATAAAGAAATAACTGTCTATTTGTTTACTGCATACAAATAAAGAAATAACTGTCTATTTGTTTACTGCATACAAATAAAGAAATATCTGTCTATTTGTTTACTGCATACAAATAAATAAATAACAGTCTACTTGTTTACTGCATACAAATAAATAACTGTATATTTGTTTACTGCAAACAAATAAGCCCTATTTGTAAAATCGATAGGCACGCAAGGTTCCGTAACAAAACCAAAGTCCAGAAGTGGACGAACAACCAGAGCTTTCCACTGGAGTTACAGCCGGTGAACGCCAAAAAAAGAGACCCCCCCCCCTTCCCACATGACCACAGGCAAGCATGTGTGCATTTTTTATCTGCGACTGGCGGTGAGCGCTAGCAAATAGTTCAACAGTCGAGAACCTTTTTTATTTTTGTTTACACACGTGGCACATTGGGCATATGATGCTAGACTCATCTTGTAGACCAACTAGCACACGGTGGCCAACATCACGCAGGCCGCTTCTACTTTCCAGTGCCGTACCTAGTACCCATTTCGGACTGATTCGTCCTAGCGTCTCAAAGGTACCATAAAAAATTGAGGGGGAGGGGGTGGGGAATTGGTGAGACATCAAATGCAAGCTAACCATCTCAATTGTTTCGCAAAATTGCTGATGTTTAAGCAAGTAAAACATAAAAGTTTTTTTGTACATCTGTGACTCAGAGGTTACTGAGAGCTCCCCCCCCCCCCCTTTTTTTTTCCATGTCCTAGTATAGATGGGAGTTTGAAAAGAAGCATTGGTTTCTAACATTAAACGTCTTTCTGATTTCTTGAAGAAACGAAGATATCTCCTAGACAACTGGTGCAGTTGTTAAAAAATACAGGGTTGACAGTTTTGTGATAATGAGGATGATTATGGTGGTGGTGGTGATGGTGACTATGACGAAGAAGAAGAAGAAGAAGAAGAAGAAGAAGAAGAAGAAGAAGAAGAAGAAGAAGAAGAAGAAGAAGAAGAAGAAGAAGAAGAAGAAGAAGAAGAAGAAGAAGAAGAAGAAGAAGAAGAAGAAGAAGAAGAAGAAGAAAAAAGGAGGAAGAGGATGAAGAGCAGGAGGGGGAAAAGACGGAGAAGGGGGAAAAGGAGGAGGAGGAAGAGGAGAAGAAGAAGAAGAAGAATAAGAAGAAGAAGAAGAAGAAGAAGAAGAAGAAGAAGAAGAAGAAGAAGAAGAAGAAGAAGAAGAAGAAAAAGAAGCGGCGGCGGCAGTAGTAGCAGTAGTCGTCTCACCCTAAACTGCAGTATTTAAACACATAAAACAAGGTCTGCATAAGAAATAAACGGCAGCAGATGTCAAAAAGCAAAGGCCAAGGATATTACCTCACCATCCTCCAACGGGTTCAAGGCCGAGTATCTGGACGTGCAAATGACCTCGTCGTCCCTGAGGAAGGTCGGCACACCAACAGTAGCATGCATACGGTAGGCATCCTCACACTCTTTATCTGACATAGCAAAGTACTGCCATGGCATGTAGTTGACGCCATCTATGGATCTCTCTAGAATCCAGTTGCCTGGTCTGGGAGCGTTAGCCGCTTTGACGATGATGTAAGCAATCTGATATATCTGAAAATAATAACACAGTTGGTTAAATTGCAAATAGCAAAAAGCGTTATGTTGCATACAATACTGTCAGCAGTTGAAAGTCTTTAAAAAATGGAACTGGCACCATATGCCATATGTGGAAGTGTAACTTTTATTTTACTGTCACTGTATGGTTCCAAATTGTGGAGATTCTTCTATCTTAGTCTTCCCCCGCCTCTCTGTGGCACCAGCCACTGCGTACTTTAGCTCTTCCCGTCTTGTGATGTGTGTAGAAATGTAGACTGACCACATATGATTCCGGTTTTCATTTCTATTTGTGAAGTAATTTATTTCAAAATGTCTCGGTTTTTTTTTTATTTTCTTTTTATTTAACCATTTTTAGCATCTGTTAAAATTACATGTTGCTTTTAAAGCTTGTTGACTGTATTTCATGGACAAACATAAAAAAAATGTTAATTACAGAGCTTTAACATCTGTTTTTCATCCATGGATGTGACGACACGCTCTGTGACTTCAGAATGTCTTTCCTCGACCTACTTTTTTGTCTATGTATTTTAATGTTTACAGAAAAATATGGTTTTGGATATATCCTAAATCTAAGTAAGGTGACGAGAACAAACCTATTTAATTCTCCTGGACTGCAGGTGATATCAAACATTGAGACTCTTTCCCAGATGTAAAGTGTTAAGGTATAGATAAGACTGACCAGCTCAGACTTAGTGGCTGGAGATTTTGCTTTCAGAACTGAGGTGTCATATAATTATCTCCTAGCCAGACCTTTAGGAGCAGATAATTGAGGCTAACTGTGATTATCTCCCCCTGAGGTTACCCAACTTGAGTTCAGGTCAGATCGCCAGTATTGACAATGTCTCTGGAGGTGTTAGCAACCAACATGGCAGGTTAAAGTAGGCAGGAAGGTGTGACCTTTTTTATGAGCTCTGGCCAGCTTGATGGACCAGGAGAATGTAACCGTGGGAATGCAAACAAGTTTTGTATAGTCCTAACAGTTAATAGACTTACCCACGGGGTGGGGCTGTGACATCCTTGAATAAGAGTGGTTTTAGAAGTAATGTAGGAGGCGCTTAGAAGAAGTTTTAAAAGGGTGGACTATATGGGCTTGGAAGTGAGACTCTGCCATTAGCAAACTATCTGTTGGGCTTAAACCCTAAGCTTGAGACAGAATTTTTGCTATTGTGTTTTCATTTTCCAGGTAAGCGAAACTATTTTCAAACCTTTATTTCATGATAGAAATATAACTGTCTTTTTGCTCAAGTGTGTGTCTTCATCACTTTGTAGTACTCCTTAGCGGACATTTCTCCATTCTCTTAGGGCACTGTCACATTGCTTTATATCGTAATTAATAGTGGTATGAATTTTTTTTTTCGTGCACGTGTGTTTCAATGTTGTATAACTTAAATGTTGATGTTACCATTGAAATTTAATGAACTATCATTTTTCTGAAATCACAAGCGTGAAGATAACTTTGGCAGTCTTTTCACGTATGGTTAATTTTAATCTGTATTACATACAGCTAACACACTGAAATGTGTTTAACTCCCGGGAGGCTAATGCGGAGATTGGTCACGGAGAGTAAATCCCTGAGATTTGTTATTTGATTCGCCCCCAGAAATATTGTTAGCATTTTGGGCGCGTCCATTGTTCTAAGCATTGATTGTAGAACTTGTTTTGTCTTACTGATTGTCATTTTGAGTCTGTAAGAGAGATGACATCAGACATAGAAGACTTAACTATCATTACAGGACGTGAGTAGAGGAAGGCAGGACATGTAACAACTACAATGTGAGACGAAGCCTTTTTTAGACTGGACAGGAGGGAAAATGAAAATGAAGAAGAGATTAAATGTTTGATTAGAATAGACATGTTTAGTGTTATTATAATAGACATGTTTGGTGTACATCTAGATTAGATACTACACATATGCGCTTGTTTCTTTACCCCAGTTCCCACATTGGGCAGGGACTAGTAGTCATCCATTCTTTGCCGACTGTCGAGTCTAACGACCTGATTGAAGCAGCGAGGACGACAAACTAGAAAAGGATAGACAGGGTCTTAAATCGAGAACTGAGCAAGGTTGATTTTCTCCAATTATATGAGTTAAGTATATGAATTAATTTCATCAATAACACCATCTTCACTCTACTAGCCTAAACACGTTCATTTTATTTTTAGTTAGATTTATTCAATAAATCTTGTTCATGTTGTTATAAAAAAAGTAGTTCAGTAAATTGCGTACTTAGGTTCAAGTGTCTTTGTGCATACATTCTCTAGCCATACAGAAAATATACAAATAATGTAGTTCCTCAGCTGTTCACCAGTAGGTCACATGCTCTTTCAGAAACTCATAACAGTATCATTTTTTTGGGGCCGACATTGTGCTATCAGTGCCAAACATGGACCCTTACTACAACTAATTTGCGGGAGATAACAACAGAGATAAGATGTCTTAGGAGAGCTGCCGGCGTGACGAAAAGAGATAAAATCAAGAATGAAAAAATTAGAAGAAGACTTTAGTATAAAAGGCCAATTACGCTCTGAGACTCAATCTAGACTTATTCTTTTTAGCGTTCTTCTGTATGTTTGGGGCGGAAAACGTACAAGTTTATTATAAAGTACAAGTGAAATGGCTGATCCCGGGGTAAACCAGGTCTGATAGTATCTAGGTCCAGCAAACCAGGCGCATCGCTACCTTGCGTTCATACAGGACCGATGCCACCCAGTTTACACTCCATGGACAGACTTGCATATCCAGCAGCATGAGTAGAAGGGGGTTCTATATCTGACTCGACTGTTAACATCCTCTCCACTGCATCAATGTCTATTCTGTTCTGAAACCTTTCGTATACACCATAGGCAAATACTGCCGCATTCGTCCAGGTGTCCTTTCATAGTCGGTAACTGCCTAGTCCCTTTGCCACTTTGAGAATAAAGTAAAATGCTTTTTGATATAACGGAACATACGGTATCTGAGACTTTGCCTTCAGAAATATGAACGATAACAAGATGACCTGTATTTAAATTTTCGCGATTTATCTCGTCTTCTGTTTGTGCGCGTAAAATCTTACACTAAAAACCGGCAATACTGCCGTATTACAAAACGATACACTTGAATTTAGTCTTTTTCTTCTTCTTCTTCTTCCTCTTCTTCTTCTTCTTCTTTTTCTTCCTCTTTTTCTTCACCCTCTTCTTCTTCTTCTTCTTCTTCTTCTTCTTCTTCTTCTAAACTCTTAGGCAGGTGTACACCGACTTAGAAATAAAAACCTAAATAGTCGACTCTTACGACATGCTTATTAGGGAGACAGTGGGTCTGTCTCCGCCCCAACTCACCCCCCCCCCCCCTTATACACAATTGGAACACGGAACCCGCATAGGAATCTCGTTTATCCAAAAGATAGTTATTTTTTCCTTACGCGATATTTCTCGATAGCGGGAACCCGAAAATCGCGCAAAATGTGTTCATGTTTTTTCAACACGTTCTATCTATCAGCCACGACAGTCAGCAAGTCTAGTAGTTAGTCTATGGTGTTGGTGGTGTGGGGGGGGGGGGGGGGCGCCGGCAAAGACATCAATATTTGGTGAAAGTCAGATCAACAAAAAAAAGGAAACAATCCACATTCTGAAGGCAAGTCATAAAACTATAAACACCGATGACCAACTTTTTTTTCAAAGGTAAGTCATGAGACTATAAAAACAATCACAATTACTCTTTAAATTGGCCCCAGACTTAACACCACCTGAAGTAGCATTACCTAGACCTTTAGACTTCTTTAAATAGGACCCATTAACTCACATATAATAAATACATTGCTTGCTGTAATCAACTCTGATAACAGAAAGCAGACGCTTCAAATAAAAAACAACACGGAGGATTCGATAGTAAGCTACATGTAAGTGCCTCGATCTCCAATTAAAGAATTCAGATTTCGCTTACCGCGCCTCTTTTCCGCTAATACTCTTCCCAGAATCACTTTTCTAGGTCAAGAATAATGGGAAACTCGACATGTCAATGACTGAACGAGAAGCCGGGCTAAAGGATACGATCTGTATAACAAAAGAGCAAACGGTCCGAGACAAGTGTAATGCTGAATGTTTGCCTCTGTTAGCGCTCCCAGGTCGCTTTATGGGCGCTTCTTTGAATCGTTCCCCAAAATGGCGGCTGTAATATGATGGCGTTCAAAAAGGAGCTAAATTGGCCAATTTCTGGCCATAAAACATTCAAAAATATCCGAATGCGGGGTCAGTTCTAATAAAAATATATGTGCCGGCTCCGAATAACGAAACAAACGCTCTGACAGGGTCTGGGCGATACGTTGCTTGCCGACCTGCTTCTGCGAGTGTGCCTCACCGCCGAGTGTATCCCCCGCGCCGCTACGCGCGGCGCGGATGGGGGCTAAACTAGATGGCTGGGACTCACGAGTGGCAGCTACCGCATCTCCTGCAACTTCTTCCAATTACTGTACTCGTGAGTCCCAGGCACCTAGATACGCTCGGCGATGAGTTAAATCGCATTTGGCGCATGCCGACAAGTCTGACATCTACCGCTGCTAAATCCTCCAATCGGAAGAACACAGTATTGCTAATCGGCTTTCATCGTCTGTAATGTCTCGAAATTGGTCAACGGTCGCTAATATCGTCTGCTAGTATCGTCTGCAGAAACGCTCGAAATTTTTGTCAACGGTCGGTATTTATCGTCTGCTACTAGTACCGTGTGCAAATGTTTATATTGGTTGTCAAGTAATCCTAGTTTTGCCGCGATTTGTTCGTTGGCAGAAAGTCCGTATTTTAGATATACGCGAACACCGTCGTTCGGATATTTTTGGATATTTTATAGCCAGAATGTGGCATGCCGCCATTTTGGGGAATAAATCAAAGAAGCGCCGCTTTATGTGACTGTTAAACGTTCCGAGATTTATTTCCCAAATACAGCCAAAGCGCTATTTGTGAATATCTTGCAATACAGTGTTTTTATGATTGAAGTGGAAGGCTGTCTATACAGAAAATACTTAGTTTTCACCGCAATTATTAGTCAGGTATAACAAAAATCCACGTTTCGCCTTCAATGTGTGATTATTCCTGACATAAAATGCAATAATAGGGCTAGTACTTGATGGAAGCAAATTGCTGCTTACAAATCAGGACAGACATCTAGACAATTTGGGTACTGGGTATATTCAGCGGGACGGAGAGGGTTTAAACCAAAGGGTTAATAAAATCAAGGTGACCTAGGGCTGAAGTACTGAAGACTACTTCCTGCCTGCATACTGCTCAAATGAACCACGAGCTGGCTTACGTGGAGAAAGGGGACTGCCAGCGATGCCCTGCATTGATTTCTGGTCAAGGCAAGACACACAAATCGTAATAGTCATCACTTGCATTCTATTTCAACTACACTCATCACTATCATATCTGGTCATGTGATTTACTGAAGCCAGGGTGGTGGGGGGCGGGGGGTGGGGGAGAGAAAAAGAGAGAGAGAGAATAAGCTTGAGTTAGATACATTCCTTCAAGTGGATCAAACAAAGAGGCAAATGGTACTGTCGTCTCTTCCCACAATGGCCCAGGTGAAACCGTCATGGCAGCCCTATCTGCTAGTCAAACGAGGGATGCTTCTAATTCTGTTCGCAGAAACTCTCAACAAAGAAAGACAGACAAACATAAAGGAAAGACAGGCAGAAAGAAAACAATTCACATCAAGTTTAGCGTTGCAGATTTAAAATTCTATCGAACGATGAAAAAAAAATCGGATCATTTTAAATACACAACAGTTAAAATGAGACTCGTAATGCGTCTTTTTAAAGATGAGCAGAAAAGTAAACTCAGCCGATGCAAATAAAGCATCAAATTTTAGCGATAAATAGTACATAATCAACAGCAACAACGATAACAACAAAAGAAGAAAAACAATAATGAAATTTAAGGAATAGGGTATGAAAAGAAATAATGACATGGCAGAAAGAAGACAAACGTAATTCATCCCCAAGAAATAAACGCCACCATGACATGAATCGTCTTCTTCCTGGGGAACTGACAGTTATGTCTGATACCAGAGTTCTTCCTTGCCATGATACTAGGCTGCGTAACATCTTTTCTCTGGCGTTTGTTCCCTTTAGCTATCCCGTTGTCAGACGTACGCAGTTTTTCCTATGACATGTGTCTAGTGACTGTGCTTCTTTAGCAGTCAATCTTTCGTTCTGCAACATTTCTTCTTCTTCTTCTTCTTCTTCTTTGTAAGTTCTGGTGAAAAGTCCTGGTCTTTCGTCCCTTTAGACTGGCTTTGCGGCATAGTCTGAGTTCTGAGTGTACATCCGTTTTACTGGCACTGTTGTGTGCAACTAATTGTTCCTGGCCGCTCGGGCAGATGCACTCCGACTTCGAAGAAAGCTCCCAATTAGTCCACTCCTATGACATGCTTACTGGGAAGGCAGGGTCTATTTTTGCTCACCCCCTCCCCCACCCCAATAGGGCCATGGAACCCACGCTGTGCAATTATGCAGCATTTGATTGGAAACCGGTGATCACTGTTGCCGCTACAAACGTGGAACTGACCTTCAATTTCTTCTCAAGTCTCTACGTGCAACTTTAGTTCTCTGTGTTTTTTATTTGATAATGTTAATTGCTCGTTGTTTAGTGGCCTGCACATTTTCTTTATAAATAACTTAGTTTGCTGCGTTTGAGCTTCTATTCGTGCAAACAAAATGTATTTTCTACTTTTAGGTGAGCCGAATCCGATAAATTATGTTTAATTGTCTGCTGCACAGCTGGCGGTAGCACTGGATCTCGAGGATGTTTATAAAAGAGTAAGATACGACATCTTGATGTCTGCACTGAAGTAGAAGGTCAGTCCATAGCTGGTGAATTGGATTGCAGCTGTCCTGTATTCACGTCGGGTTGCCCTCCGACTGGGCTCATGGACCTCAGAATCATGCAGTTTGGCCCCAGAACTGCTTCGTGCAGAATGACGTGCCTCGCTGCGGAGGACACGGGTATATTGTCTGGATTTTTTTTTTTTTTTTTTTTGTGGTGTCGGTTCTCAACCCATCTTAACTCAGCTCAACTTTTTTAGTCGGACTAATATTGTGATGTACGAAACTAAACAATCACGACTGTTGTGGTACTCATACATACCTGGCCAAGATCTAACGTAATGGTTACGTAGTTGTATCTGGCTCCGTTGGTTAATGTGGGGCTTTGCCACCATTTCTGACTGCCGTCTATGGCGTTAGTGATCTGGTGTCGCTGCTTGGGGTTGCTGCTCCTGGCGTCACAGATGTCGCACTGGCGATTTTCTGCTGGAAAGATGCGAACATGCTCCACGAGCTTGCAAAACACTTCTGCCCCAGTCTCTCCGCATGTGGCATTGGCGCTAATGCGTGCCCGTGAGGCCAGGTTGAACACCACTGGGAAGAGGCCGTTTACTTCTGTAAAAGTGAAAGACAGTTAAAATTAGTTCTGCTATCTTCCTTCATAGCCTGAAAAGGGTATGTCGCTAAAAATTGTGGGAAGTAAAGGTGGCCGGCGTGATAATAAGCACATCAACCAAGTACCCTTTCTTTTTGTCGACGAATCATCATGGCACACGGGTTTAAGCCCATAAGTGCTCCGTTCTACTTCTTACTCAAGCTGTGTCCGAAGAATCTCAGCGCAGTGCACGAACTCCGTAGCACCGGCGAGGATCCTAAAATACTTTGGGTAGAATGTTAACTTCGGATTTTGCCCGGGCAGCGCTGTTAGCCTGCTCTTTTCGATTTCCAGCTGTCAAGGTATTTTTGAAGTGCGAAACAATAAACATGGGCGTCCGCTCTTATTACCCAGAAACCAGGGAAAGTTACTAGAAGTCCACGTGAAAAAATGCTAGCCTTTCTACCCGTTGGTTTCTACCCTTTGGTTTCTAGTAGGCGCCACACACACACACACACACACACACACACACACACACACACACACACACACACACAAATAGTGTCCCCGATAAGTCCAAAGGCGCGGAAAGGCAATACAAAAATAGTTTCCCTGATGAGTCCAAAGGCGCGGAAAGGCAATAAAAAATAGTTTCCCCGATAAGTCCAGAGGCGCGGGAAACAAACTCTACTATATCGTCACACACGTATACAGACCATCGTCCTTCTCGTGAGCACCATCTACATCATGTACGGAAGTTACCAAAAAAAAAAAGGGGGGGGGGGAATCTAGCATAAGTATTGAAAGTTAGTTTTAGCGAACGGGAAAGGAGGATATAGTGAAGCGGCCTGTGGGAACAAATATTATTCCGCGACTAAACACAACCCTGTTCCCTTTAGCTACAGTCCAGACGGCAATGAGGTTTCTGGCGGGACTAGATGCTTCCTGTTGCCACATTGTTTCTCCTTTCACTTCCAGTATTGTTTATCCTGTCATTTCTTACTGAAAGATTTAATGTTAACTTTGCAAACTGGTTGTCTTCTCCTTTCCAAGTGACACCAGAGTGTTCATAAATCAAGGCAGTGGAATGTGGAAGGGCTGCACGCATCAGGGCCTGTCACCACTGGCTGAAGATGTCTACTCGCTAGAGTAAGAAGAGCACTCCCGAGTCTTGTAAACGGCTAGTGTTCTGTCTATGTGTTTCTATATGCCTTTGTGTATGCGTGCGCGTCAGTTAATTTGCTACAATTTAATGTTTCCTTTTGCTATTAATTGGCAATGTTGTACCGCAGTTCTGTACAGGTCCACGCCCAGGGAAGCTAGATAAACTGAGTGACAACGATCTTAAATAATAATAGCTAGCAAAAAAAATAATAATAGCTAGAAGCTTAAATACACCAAGACAGATACGGTCATGATAATAGTGAAATAGAATCATAAGAAGAAGAAGAAGAATCATAGGATGTGAGAACTGAACTGTACAACGTATGTGTTATAGATGAAGATGAAAGAGGTATCCCCGCATGGAGTCTTGCAAAGTGTACATTTTCTGAAACGCTGAAAGCTACTGCACTCTTTAACTCTTTCTGAACCAAACAACGCACTGAGCGTGACTGTATATTATTCACGTGTACCAGTCAACAACTCATGTATGATTTTTTACATCATGGCTGCGAAGAACTGCAAGGTTTGAAAATCTGGATTCTCTGGAAGTAGTATACCCCTAAGTAGTATACCCATAAGTAGTACACCCATAAGTAGTACATCCATAAGTAAGTAGTAAACCCATAAGTAGTGTACCCATAAATAGTACACCCATAAGTCGTATACCCAAAAGTAGTACACCCATAAGTAGTATACCCATAAGTAGTATACCCACAAGTAGTACACCCATAAGTAAGTAGTAAACCCATGAGTAGTATACCCATAATTAGTACACCCATAAGTCGTATACCCATAAGTAGTACACCCATAAGTAGTACACCCATAAGTAGTACAGCCATAAGTAGTACACCCATAAGTAGTACACCCATAAGTAGTGCACCCATAAATAAGTAGTAAACCCATAAGTAGTACACCCATAAGTAAGTAGTAAACCCATAAGTAGTATACCCATAAGTAGTATACCCATAAGTAGTAAACCCATAAGTCGTAACCCATAAGTAGTTCACCCAAAAGTAAGTAGTAAACCCATAAGTAGTTCACCCAAAAGTAGGTAGTAAACCCATAAGTAGTTCACCCAAAAGTAAGTATTAAACCCATAAGTAGTACACCCATAAGTAGTACACCCATAAGTAGTATACCCATAAGTAGTATACCCATAAGTAGTATACCTATAAGTAGTATACCCATAAGTAGTACACCCATAAGTAATATACCCATAAGTAGTACACCCATAAGTAGTATACCCATAAGTAGTACACCCATAAGTAGTACACCCATAAGTAGTATACCCATAAGTAGTATACCCATAAGTAGTACACCCATAAGTAGTATACCCATAAGTAGTACACCCATAAGTAGTACACCCATAAGTAGTACACCCATAAGTAGTATACCCAAAAGTAGTATACCCATCAGTTTAGTAAATTTAATGCCCTCCTGTTTTTGCTAAGACCATGTGGGACTGAAATAGTTAAGAGTCCCAACCAAGTCATAGCATTTATGGGCTACTGAGTGGTTTTACTAGCAATTTTATGTTCAATAGTTGTTCTTCTTTGTTCAATTCTTGTTTTTCTTCTTCTTCTTCTTCTTCTTCTTCTTCTTCTTCTTCTTCTTCTTCTTCTTCTTCTTCTTCTTCTTCTTCTTCTTCTTCTTCGTCTTTCTTCTTCTTCTTCTTCTTCTTCTTCTTCTTCTTCTTCTTCTTCTTCTTCTTCTTCTTCTTCCTCTTTATTGTGTCGTCGCCGTGATCGTCGTCGAGTAGACGTCCTCGCCGTCGTCATCTTCTTTATCTTTTTTTCCTGACCACCGGCTATAAACTCCGGTAAAGATTCATCATTGTTCAGTTATGTCTGGACCTCGGTCATGTTCCGGGACTTGAGTGTTTTGTGTACATGTAGTTTATATGTCTAGTTTGCTGTGTGCAGCATGGTAGTTGCTCGCCTCTCAGTCAGATACGTTCCGACTTTAAAGGAAACGTCGCTCTTTTATACGTTAACCAGGCCCTCTGTAGGAAACCAGTTCCTACAATGGATGAAAATACTGTTCATCATCATTCGTGATGGACGAACAACAACATGGAACCAATTTCTACAATGACCACTAGAGGTGTAGACAGGTCTTCATCTGTATCAGCTCTGGTCTTAGTGCATCAACGGAGAAGTTGATCTTAATCCCAGCGAAGCATTAGCTCGCAAAGCATAATGTATTAAGAACGTTTGCCCGGCTCGTAAGCGACCCGGCGACGAACTCATTCTGGTCTGGGTTCACGCCTGGGGGTAGGCAGAAAAGCCACATTTCTCCCCGATTTACGGTACCTATCATGGAATCAAGACCGAAGGGTTGCGATATCCATAGTACCGAGTCAAAAGGTTAACAATTCATGGTTTCTGGATACCCACACAAAAAAACTTGAACGTTTATTTAAATTGTTGTGTGCCGCCAAGCGTGTAATTGCATATGCTGAAAATGATGATATTTTATTCAAGTGTTAAGTACTGACCACGGCCATCTCCAGTCAGGCCGTAAAACTGAATCACGTCACATTTTCGAGGAGTCGCCCTCGAAAATAGGTTATTGCAAGCGTTTCCATGTTGCATTTTGTGACATTATAATATGCTTACAAACTTCTGTGTTCTGATTGTATTCGTATTACAAATCGACAAGCGGATATTGTAAAGTAGACATACAGGCTGTTAGATTACAACAATTTTAATTGTAATTCACGGGAGACAGTCGTGTTGTGATGTGTGTGTCAGTGTCACTGTTTCTAGTCAGTAGTTCGGATTTTTGGGAACTGGCTGTTTATTACTTTTCTACTTTAAATGTAGAAATCTAACTTTTAGGGATAATACAAACAGGTAATTTAGAAGCCATATCTGGAGAATATCGACAGTTGTCAGGTGCAAACTATCTTGTGTTCAAAGAAAACTATTGCTTTCATATTGACTATGCATAAATGGTGCAACACACTGTGGATAAATTGTGTCAAGATATTTCGCAGCTCTAGGTAAGTGGATTTGCAGTTCTACGGTCTGTTAATTTTTGTAAACTGGCTTTTGCTTTGCTTCGCGAACACTGGCTGTAAACTCTTGCGGAAACTTCTGGTTGCTTATCGACTTCTTTTGCATATTTGCAGTTCTACGGTCTGTTAATTTTTGTAAACTGGCTTTTGCTTTTCTTCGCGAACACTGGCTGTAAACTCTTGCAGAAACTTCTGGTTGCTCATCGACTTCTTTTGCATATTTGCAATTGTACGGTCTGTTAATTTTTGTAAACTGGCTTTTGCTTTGCGTCGAATCGACTTCTTTTGCATATTTGCAATTGTACGGTCTGTTAATTTTTGTAAACTGACTTTTGCTTTGCTTCGCAAACACTGGCTGTAAACTCTTGCGGAAACTTCTGGTTGTTCATCCACTTCCCTTGCATATTTGTTACCGAAAAATTCGCAATGATAAGGAATTGATTTCATCCAACAAGATGAAACTGGACAAATTTGTTTGTGCTGTTTGTACCTTGAGGATACATATTTAGTAGTGCTATAAGTACTGTTGAGAAAACTATTCTGGGTGAAAAAAGTATTGCACATATCAATTTCATACTGATTGTGCTTGTTTACTAATTATTAAATAACAGTATAATTATATGTTGTAGTAGTCTACTAATAATAATAATAACCATCAATCATTTATATTTATGTTATGTATGACATGTGTATGTTTCATAGCAGTTTTTTTATGCGCTAAATTTGATAAAGTACAAATGCCCCCCCCCCCCTCCTTTCCTCTGATGCAGCAATACCCTCTCAGAATCAAAGAGTTATCACTGATATTTCTTTACTTTTGCTGGAACAACTTTTAGTTTACATCTAAACGTTATTGATGTTTATGTTCATGTTGACTGTAGCAAAAGCATTTTTGTTTGTCTGTAAGAGCCTTTATTGTTATATTTAATTGGCACACTTATTTACCTTAAAAATGACGTATAGTTCTAAAAAATATGTCGAAAATTAATGTATAATGTTTAATTTGTGTATACATCTTCTCGATAAAAACTGTTTACACAGAAGGACTCAATTCTTGCACAAGAACGGGAATCCCCGTTGACCCAGTTTGGCCTATTTATATCTAAAGATGGCCGTGGTTCTGACCAACTGATAAAACAGAATGTGCTTATTGTACCATCATACACAGGGTCTGTCTCTGACCGTTGAGAAAATACCCGGTGATCAAAATTGGGTCCTAAGAAGCTTAAAGAGCTGTGATTCAATTTCTGTTATTTGAGGGTTGCAAACCAGTGGAAATTCGTCAAAGAATGCAGGCAGCCTGCAGCATACACAAATGTATCCAAGACAACAGTGACATTACGTCAACACTGTTTTGGAAAGGACGTGAGTTCACGACAGACCTTTCACGGCCGGATCAATCGCATTTTGTTGCAACAGAAGAACCCATCGCCAAAACTGATGCAGCAACACGGATGAACCATTGTCAAAGAATACCATAGATGCTGACCAACAACCAAAAGGAGGAAGGCATTCAGACGGTATTCGCCACATACTGAAGCATTGCCATACTTACTTACATGCCTAAACGCCTTTTTCTAACCAACCCATGGTGAGTAATTGATTCAAAATATTGCTTTGTTTAACTCTGCCACACATTTTGATGTTTCTTTCATGCCTTTGTAATGAAGCCTTCGGTACGGATTCCAAATGAACTCTCCGTATAATTCGTTTGGGAAACAAAATAAAGGACATACAGTCCAATCAGCATCCGATGGGTAATATCAATTTCACACCGACCGCCTTTACTTCCAATAACAGTTTTTTGTAAGCATTTAGTTGGGTCGACCTGGAAGCATAGGTCAATTATCAACCACTGTTACGAAGCGGATTCGAACTCTAGACCGGGATGGCAGGCAAGCGTCTAGCTACTACATTGCCTTGACTTTTGGCAGCTATAGACAACCTTCCAAATTCTCCCGACATGCAACACCCCGAGTAGGTAGACACCATAGCAACCAGGTATAGGTCCATGAGTGAATGTGCCAGTCGGCTGTACCAACGTCGGTAAGGCTGTGGAAGGGGATTGGGGGATTATAAATACAATCTGACTGAACTGTATCTAAGCTGTAAAGAACATATACATTTCTTGATTTTTTTAAGAGCAACTGTTAGTAATCATAGCCGCCCATGGCCATCCCTTTCAAGTACTGTCTGTCGTTGCTGATTCATATGTTCTTCAGTACCATGTTCCTCCCTTTCAACTTTCCCAATGTCGAAGATACTGCAGGTTTCACCTCCCCATGATGTGCCTAAAGAATGTGGACTGCCCTCACGTGAGGCCATAAATAGTTCTCTTCAGTCAAACTCTACACAACGTCATTTTATCGATTCAAATAATTGAAAATCAAACAATAAATTGTGAAGTTTAAAATGTGATTAGGTATTTGGATTCTTGGCATTAAAAAACAAAACCAGCAGAAACATTACGAACACTGCTAATATTTGTTTCATCCGACTTACGTACAGCCATTTGTCAACAAGCAGAAGAATTTCAAAAGGATTACAATGACTGGCGAGAATCAACATTGAAATCCCCGGGAACTTATGTTTTACCTAGTCTGGGTCAACATCAAAGGAAACGTTATCATTTTAAGTATATGTACGCTACAGTATGTCTAACCAATCGGTTTTTTTACACTGTTTAAATAAGGCATTACAAATACACTACCGAATAAGTCCAAAATTATCTAACTAACCGAGTCAACTCTTAATTGTCACCAGTAGACTGATAAATTATTAGCGTTAGGAACCTCTCGGAAGACATTCACTCCCGAAAAGAACTGATTACCCGCAATAATAGTGGACAATATTTTGACACGCTAT